GTCTGAGTGAAAAAAGTGTCTGAGCAGATGCGAAAGGGGGGCATTGTTACGTCACTTTTTGCATTTTGCTGATTGGCCTATGTCACGAAGTAAACAAGAAAGTCTATGCTCGGGGAAAGGTCCATTGCCTTGCCTAATGGTAAATCTGGTCCCTGAGGTAGGGGTTACCGGTGTGGTACGGGTTTTTCACCTTCGTGTTCAGAAATTTGAGCGTTTTTTATTTTATATATAAATATATTATATATATATTTACATAACTTGTGCCATCCAATTTGACAAATCAAGTCCACTGTTCTCTTCCGGTGCCTGGACGGCGCTTTTTAAAACGGCCGTCGCAGTTGCTATGGTGATCGGTTGTTGTCATTCCAGGCTGGCAATCTGTGATTTTATGCTAGCTTCACGGAGGTCTGGAGGGACCCTACTAAAAAGGTAGGTATCATAGGTATCACTCCATAAAAAGATAGGTATCAGTAGTACGGTAAATGACTAAAAAGGTAGGTATCAGTAGTAAATAACTAAAAAGGTAGGTATCAGTAGTAAATGACTAAAAAGGTAGGTATCAGTAGTAAATGACTAAAAAGGTAGGTATCAGTAGTAAATAACTAAAAAGGTAGGTATCAGTAGTAAATGACTAAAAAGGTAGGTATCAGTAGTAGATGACTAAAAAGGTAGGTATCAGTAGTAAATGACTAAAAAGGTAGGTATCAGTAGTAAATGACTAAAAAGGTAGGTATCAGTAGTAAATAACTAAAAAGATAGGTATCAGTAGTAAATGACTAAAAAGATAGGTATCATCAGTAAATGACTAAAAAGGTAGGTATCAGTAGTAAATGACCAAAAAGGTAGGTATCAGTAGTAAATGACTAAAAAGGTAGGTATCAGTAGTAAATGACTAAAAAGGTAGGTATCAGTAGTAAATGACTAAAAAGATAGGTATCAGTAGTAAATGACTAAAAAGGTAGGTATCAGTAGTAAATGACTAAAAAGGTAGGTATCAGTAGTAAATGACTAAAAAGGTAGGTATCAGTAGTAAATAACTAAAAAGGTAGGTATCAGTAGTAAATGACTAAAAAGGTAGGTATCAGTAGTAGATGACTAAAAAGGTAGGTATCAGTAGTAAATAACTAAAAAGGGAGGCGCAGTTCTTACCACTTCATGGCAGCTCCTGCCACGAACGTACCACGCCGTCTCCTGCCATGGTTTTATGGCGCTATTACCGGTATATTTACAAATTTATGTACCATATTTTAGTTTATCATGCGAAATTATATCTACTCAAACTCTAACCCTAACCCCAAATCCATCCAAACTGTATCCATAAGAAAAACATTCCAACTCACCAAATATTTATCACCATCCTGCCATCAGCAGATTAGGGGCAGCCCTGCTATTACAGCCGACCTGCCGTGGTTACGGCAGTAAAATTGGTGGTATTCGATTTGCTGCCGTAACAACGGCAGCTCGCTATTGGTTTGTGGCAGCTAAAAAGTCAGTCGCCGTGGGTTTGGTCTTAGTGGCCGTGGTTTGGAAATCCCGCCATGGTTTTGCGGCAGCTGTAGACGCCACAAAATACTTGAAACTGCACTTGTAAAAAGGTAGGTATCAGTAGTAAATGACTAAAAAGGTAGGTATCAGTAGTAGATGACTAAAAAGTTAGGTATCAGTAGTAGATGACTAAAAAGGTAGGTATCAGTAGTAAATAACTAAAAAGGTAGGTATCAGTAGTAGATGACTAAAAAGGGGGCTCCCGAAGTATGCGAACCAAGATGGCGGACATCGGAATGTAATATGTGTACTGGGTTAGGGTTAGGCCATAATTTTAGGTATAAATACTACGGGAGGCCCTTGGCTAGTCTTCGAACTGATAATAGGACTAAAATAAGGAAAATTGACTACTGATACCTACCGTACCTTTTTAGTGAGTGATACCTGTGATACCTATGATACCTACATTTTTAGTAGGGCCCGTCTGGAGGTGTGGTGAGACGTTGTGCTAGTTATAAGTACCGGTATAGGATAGGATTTACGTATTTATCCCGGGGGAGAGGAAAGCCGATAAGACGGCTTATCCATATGGCGAACCACGGCCTCTCGTCCGGTTACCATTTCAAGTCGGGTATGGGATTAGTTTTACTGTATTGTTTGTTTTCGGAAGCATGGACTTGGTGGTGGAGAAAGCCGTAACCGACCAGCGGTTAACGTGAACCACCCAGCGACGGCGAGGAGTCCAGCAATCCTCTCGCACATAACCATCCCTGCATGGGATTCGAACCTGCGAACCCACGCAGAGTAGTTAGAGGTGCGGTGGCGAGCGTATTCCTAACGCTTAGCCCGTTGAGCCACACCGTCGCGCCATAAGTAATTGATAAAAACAAAACCCTAAGTAAGGTTTAAAACGTACAGCTGGCTCGGCGGTGTGGCGCATCGTGCTAAGCGTTGGGAATACGCTCGCCACCGCATCTCTGATTACCGGTACCCTTCGCGACCTGGACTGGTACCGGTAGCGTACCGTAACCGGACGAGAGGCCGTGATTCGCCATATGATTAAGCCGTCTTATCGGATTTCGACTCCCCCGGGATAAATATGTAAATCCTATCCTATCCTAGATTTTAGATTGAAAGGTGTTGTCAAAAGAAGTGGTACGGTACCGGTATCGTACTTCTAGTGGGCGTAGCAGGACAACTTTTCGATGTCAATCCTAACCCCTATCTGACTAAGTCATCCAAAAATTACCGCACAAAACTCTGACATAATATTTGTATAACCGCATGAATAGAAATTGTACAAATGGAAAGATCAAATGAATATCAAATAAAAATTACGAATGGTATGTTTGTGTACTTTTATTTAATTTACCATTGTCATAATCAAATGAGTGACTCGATCCCCAAATTTCCATCCGCCAATGATGGAGAAATATTGTAAAACATGTTTTATTTTTCGAGTAAATATTTCATGACGATATTGTCTTCAACGATGCCGGGATAACGATAGAATTCGCGACTGATACTAAATAATATTAAAAAGGTTCATTATTATGCTCAAAATTGTAACAACTGAAAAAATTACTCCTGTTATGTTAAGTCCTGTAAGTCACTATCGAAATTGAGAATGGAAACAATTAATAACAACACAATTTGCTTTTAGTTTTATTGCCGATGCGGCGCAAACTATCTCGACTAAATTGAAATATACGATAATAAGTGTAAAATATTTTCGATCAAAATCATCCTCAACGTGAACTTCAAGGCGGCGCTAATTGAAACCCTTTCATGTCGACTATAATTTATCACTGTAGTGAACAACTCTGCGTTTGATTGCGACAAAAAGTAGAACGAGAATATCGGTTGGAAACCGAAGACTTATCGATAGTTAGGGGATCCCCCAAAACAGAAACTGCAGTTTCGATTCATCCGCTCTTGTAACTTGCGCACTGCGCATCGCACACACACACTCGGCGGGTTTCAAAATTCTCTCGCTTTACAAAAATCTAGATCACTATATCAATAATTGATTGATAACTCGCTAATTAATCAATAGGGATCTGGTCCGAGATAAGATGAATGCACATGCAAAATCTGGAGCAGATTCAATCTCGCTTTCGTGAGATATCGCGTGCATCTAACAGACACACACACAGACACACAGACAGACATACATACAGACAAATACCTATCAATATACTTACCGATCTTATGATCGATAAGTAATAATTGTAAAATGTTTCAAATTAAAACGTGGATGGCGGCGCTAGAACTTGTGCGCTATATTCGGTATTGTTATAAAAACGAAAAACGATATACGATAGTCGCGAAATTCGAATTGGACATCCCCGCTTCAATCACTCTATTAAATTGACCTGAAAAGAACAAATATCACTACACCCGTTTTTTATTTTTGGTTTTCGGTCTTTCGTATGTAGAAAATCTTACGTTAGTCGAAGCAATATGTTCACCTAAAGAATTTTCGCAAGTTGGATTTTTTGTATCCAGAGCCCTTCGTAGGTAGAGTTTCCACTGTATTCTCATTTGTCGCATCTATTTTTCATAAAAGTTGTTTGTTCATTAATTAAAGAGTACCGGTATTAAAATGAATTGGGTAAGTAAACTTATGCCTGTATGTGATGGATCACATGCTCAGAGCAAAGAATATACAAAAATTTCCGGTCTATGTGAGTAAACGGCATAAGCTAACTGCTCCAAACAAAAATGTGATGTGAAAATACAGCCCAAGTTTTTTAAATAAAAGTGTGTCTTGCGCTGAACGCTATCCCCTTTTAGCCATGAGGCATGTCTGCTTAGTTGAAAATTGAGTAAGTTTGATTTAAACTATACGCGTCTGTCAAAAAAATTTTATTCCGCATCAAACTTTTTCTTTTAAAAACATAAAATTTCCACATAAAATTTGGTAGAATAGAAATCAAAATACTGTGTGGTGACTGAACACGTTGAATATTTGCGTAAAATAATGTAGTTGTTTGAGATGACTGGCTCTAAGTTTGAATTTGGGTCAATTTCAGAATTGTGAGATTCTATTGAAGGCTTCAAATGAAACGAGTAATATTTCTTTTGATCTATGTGCTAGCCTAGAATGCACCTGGGCATTATTGTTATTATTCATTACTAAGGGTGTGTATTATGCAAGAGAAACACTGTAGTAGGCTATATTAGGTAGTTTTGGCTATCACTGCATACTGGACCTTCACTGGCAACCAGACGAGGGGATGTGGGTTGCCAATGCCGGCACATAAAAAGCTAAAACTGAATGTATATTTTATACGCTGTATGCATAATGCAGGGGGCGGCCGATAAATATGATTACTGCCAGATTTTGTCTTTCTCTTTCAACCATTTTTATATATTGAAATATGTTGAACTGACTAGCTATTGTTTTAAGCCATCTTGTCAGGTTTGTTCTAGCAGGTATTACTATGGTTCCTATTTTATTGAAAGGTCTGTTTGAAATTACATTTTTTCATTTTCTGTATTTTTTAGTTTATTAAATACTTAATAAAATGAGTGTATATCTGAGCCATAAAAACAGACATGTCGCGTGACGTGAGAAAGAATTATATATTCAATTTGATTGAAAATCACTTTGGTGATGTTTCTGATACAGCAAAACAGTTTGGGAATGTTGCGGAATTGAATTCATTTTTGGATGATGGGAATACTACCGTCCTTACCGTTATACAAAATGCACCTAAAAGTATTGTCTTTACAAACAATCTCAATGGAGATTCCAAACAGCAAAATTTACTTGTGTTTTACAAGTCACGACCAGAGCCAATCACAGATGATAATATTCGCACAAATATTATGATGTCTACTATGTCTGATCCAGTGAATGGATTCTATCAAAGTTTACAGAGGGTGTTTGGTCCTGTTTTGCTTCAAAATACAAGAAACCTAGACCCAAAATTGCAGCAATTACTAGAAGATTTGGAACGTGGATTAGGAAACCATATCAGGAAAGGTGATGCTTCCAGCAACTCAAAATCTGCCAGAGACTCTGATATATCGGATATTCTTGTCCCGATGGACGAAGTTAAATATTGGGAAGATCTGGCTATGACTGGATTACGTTTAGAGATTAAAGAACGTGCACAAAGTTTTGTTGAGATTTTGCAACCTCTAGCAAAGTTATACTCAAATATTGACAGTCATAGTCTGAACGATGGGCCAGAGTTAATTGCGCAGACGCAAGATGCACTGGATGAAATATGGAAACAGACCGATGTTGATGCTTATCCTGAGCCTAGAATGGTTCACTTTTTGGAAATAATTGGTAGTGAGTTGTGTCGCTTCATACAAAGACGCTTGGGTACTTTGTTTAAATCAGTTTGGTCAGATTCATACCCAAATGTGAAAGATGCTTTACGACAATCAATAACAATGGGCGAACGTTGGTGCTCAACAGTTGATATCCTCACTGACCACATGTGGAAACAATATCCACCTCACCCTTGGCAGTCGGGGAAATTAAGACTTCCATATGTTGAAAATGTCGTTGCAAGACTCATTTCCATCAGTGAGATAAGAACTGTCAATGAGCAGTTGATGCAGCTTTTGTCTCCGATGGAAAGAGAGCGACTTTCGGTTTCTGACCAGTTAGAGGATTCTTTTAAAGATGTTTCTTCTTTGTATTACAATGCTTATACAGAGCCTGCTTACAAAGCTGCTATTGCAAATTATCATCGGGATATGCGGCCCGCAGAAGACGCTGTAGCAAATAAGTTACGTCTTCGGTTAAAAAACACAACAGGACAAGTTCATCAATTGCTGCGAGAGTTCCAACAATTCAGAGAGTTGATAAAACGACCAAATATAAGTCAAGCACTTACTGCTGAACGAGAAACTCTCCTTGGACAATTGATGGACTATATCAAAACTTTGAAAAGTGATTTTAAATCGAAATCTAAAAATTCAAGTGATCTTCCGAAAGGTAAAAACCTTCCTGAAGTTGTCAACAGTATAGTTTGGATTCAGCAGCAAGAATCAAAAGTTAAGGAATTGATGAAGGCATCTTCAGAACTTCTTGGATCATTACCGGGATTTGAAAAACTAAAACAAGCTTGTGAAAAGCTTCAAGAGGACATGGACGCTTACAAACAGGACCGATATCAAGGTTGGTGTGAGGAAATGTTGTCTTCACTCAATGATCCAAACGACCCAGTAAGCATAAGAAGTTCAAGTCGCGTAATGGAATTGGATCACAGGGATGGAAAACTGCATGTTCATTACAGTGAACGACTCGTTGGATTGCTTCGTGAGGTTCGGCAATTAGCGGCGTTTGGTTTTCGTGTACCGGGGAAAATACAGACTGCTGTATCATATGCACAACGATTTTACAAGCACGCTGTCATTCTCAAACAAGTTGCACATTTTTACAATACAATTGACCAACAAATGATTCCAAGTCAGCGACCCATGATGCTCGATTCTGCTCTCAATTTTGAGAGAATTATTAAGAAACCGAAGGCTACTAGTAAGACAACACAGGAAGGAAAATTGCATATTACATGGGATAAACCAGAAGAATTGGAAGAATATATCAAAAAACTGCAATCTGCAGCACAGAAATTGACAATGGAAAACCGACAATATCGTAGACAACACAGCATAATATGTGACAAAGTTGTAGCTTTGATGACAATCGATTTATTGCAAAACCAACCGAAATGGAAAGAATCATTATCTGAAATGCGGCGGTCAATCGGCGATATTCAACAAAAAAACAATATCAATCCTTCAAGTATGAAGCCCTGGAAAGCACACTGGAATCGGCAACTATACAAAGCTTTGGAACATCAATATCAAATGGGTTTAGAAGCATTAAATCAGAATTTACCAGAGTTCAAGGTAGATCTGGTTTTCAGACAAGAAATGTTGCAATTTAAGCCTCCATTTGAGGAGATCCGATCACGATTTTATAAAGAAATGAAAAAGTTCATCAACATTCCGAACATTTTTCGTGGAATGACAGAAACTGGTGAAGATCCTGTAACAACTGGCCAAGCCGTATTTCCATTAATGATAGATCGAAACGCTGAAGGTTTTTCTACTATATATTCAAAAGCAGAAGATTTGTTCAAGCGCCTTCTCAAAGTCAAAGAACAGTTTACAGATTTGGTTATTATCGGACAAGTTCGGGTTGAGGAACTCGTAAAAAAACATTGCAACACATATGAAGAATACGAAAAAAATTTCAGGATGGTTAAACTGAAAGGAAAGGAGGTTGAAAAATTGCCCACTTCGTTCAAAGTAGATTGTATATCGGTTTCTGCAACACCAGTCAAAACATCTATTGATGACCAACTTCAACGTTTGTTCGACGCACTGCTTGATGGATTGAGAGAAACTGTGACATTGACTGTAAAAGAAATTGAAGCATTTGTAAATGATGCGTCGGAATCATTAAATAAAATGCCTCAGACAGTTGAGGAAATTGGAGAAGCAAACGAAAAGCATACAAAATTGAGAAACGACCTTCCAACAATGCAAGCTAAATATGAAAAAGCAGAAAAATTCAACACTCTTTTGCGTAAAATGTGTGGTGAAGGAGTAGGACAAGCATTGGCATCTTTGAGATCAAAATGGGATACCTTGGACGTGATGATGGAGTCACACCACGAAGTTATCCAGGGTCAAATTGCCGTAATGAAAGCTGGAATTGAGACCAAAGTCCAAGTATATTGTACAGATCTAGAAAAGTTTTCTCAACGTTGGAAACAACTCAAACCAGGTGATGATATTATCGAATCTGGAGATAGATCAAAGTTCACCGCTGCAATTGATGATATAAAAAGTCGAAAGGAAGAATTCACCGATTTACAGAATCGAAAAGAGAAATTGATTCAAGAGTGTCAACATTTTGACATTTCGCCACCAGATTTATCTGAAGTCGATGAACTTCGTGTTGACATAGAAGGGTGTGAGGCCATTTGGTTATTATATGAAGATTTTAGTAACGGACTTGAAGAAATGTCGAAACAGGACTGGATCTCATTCAGAAGTAAATCTCACATGCTTGATGATTTTTTGACCAGTTGGGATGATAGACTACGTCAAGATCCGTCAACAATGACTATTAAAATACAAGAGGAAGTTGCTACGTACAAAGAATTGGTACCTGCGTTAAAATATGTTCGTGGCGAACATTTATCACAAGACCATTGGATTGATTTATTTCAAATTATTGGTTTACCTCGAGGAACTACATTAGAAAAATTACTTTTCAAGAATATTTTATCTGTAGCAAAAAATATCATTTCAAAAGTATCTGAATTGAAAGAGTTGAACAGCAGAGCACAGGGAGAGGTTTCAATTCGAGAAGCTCTGAGAGATCTTGATAAATGGGGTGCATCTGCTGTTTTCACTCTCACTGATTACCAAGATTGTGAAGGTAAAAGTTTACGAATTATTAAAGATTGGAAGGAAATTGTAAACGAGGTCGGAGATAACCAATGCTTATTGCAATCTCTGAAAGATTCACCTTATTTTAAAGGCTTTGAAGATCGTGCCACTAGCTGGGAAACTAAGCTCGCACAATTAGATGAGTTTTTGCATAAACTAAACTCAATACAACGCAAGTGGGTTTATCTGGAACCGATTTTTGGGCATGGTGCTCTACCACAAGAGCAGAGCAGATTTGGACGAGTAGATCAAGAGTTTCGTGCTATTATGTCTGATATATCTCGAGACAATCGTGTTGTATCTCTAGTTGGGCGTTCGGGAATGCAATCTCAATTGACAACAATGTTAGATCAGTTGCAAAGATGCCAAAGGTCATTAAACGAATACCTTGAGGAGAAAAGAGATTCATTCCCTAGATTCTATTTCATTGGTGATGATGATTTGTTGGAAATACTTGGTCAGTCAACAAAACCAACTGTGATACAATCCCATCTCAAGAAACTTTTTGCTGGTATCCATCGTGTTGTGTTTGACGATGACCAGCAAAACATAAAATCAATGTGCAGTCTTGATGGTGAAATTGTCGACATGAAATCAGCAATAAGACTCACTACTAACGTTGAAGAATGGTTGGAAGATCTATCAAAAGGAATGAAAGACACTTTACATGATTTGTTGTACAAGTGTGTTGGAATTTTACTTGGCAATAAAGGAAATTTAGATCCATCGCAATTTCCGTCACAAGTGTTATGCATTGCCGAACAAGTGCGCTTTACGGAACGCTGTGAGTCAGCTCTGAGTAATCGTGAACTACCAAATTTCAAAAATGAACTTAACAAGCAATTGCAATCCTACACATCTGTATTTGTAAGCTCACAAGACCAAGATGACGATTCCCAAGTATTAAAATTGAAGCTCAAAGCTTTAATTCTTGATATTATTCATTGCATAGATGTTGTTTCACAGCTAATGGAAGGGAACATCAGCTCAACATCTGAATGGATGTGGCAAAAGCAACTTCGCTATTACATAAAATCAAAAGCTGGTATTATGCGAATGGTCGATGCCGAATTCGCATACACATATGAATACCAAGGTAACGCACCTAAATTGGTCCATACCCCATTGACTGATAAATGCTATTTGACTTTAACACAAGGAATGCGACTGGGCCTTGGTGGAAACCCATATGGCCCTGCTGGAACTGGAAAAACTGAATCGGTGAAAGCTCTTGGTGGACTGTTTGGACGACAAGTTCTTGTATTCAATTGTGATGAAGGTATTGATGTGAAATCTATGGGTAGAATTTTTGTCGGACTGGTGAAATGTGGAGCTTGGGGATGTTTTGATGAATTTAACCGATTAGAAGAAGCTGTACTTTCAGCTGTTTCTATGGACATTCAAGTTATACAAGCTGCATTGAAAAAAAAAGCACAGGTTGTGGAACTACTCGGCAGAAAGGTTGATATCGACCCAAATTCTGGTATTTTCATCACTATGAACCCGGCTGGTAAAGGATATGGAGGACGTCAAAAACTTCCTGACAATTTAAAGCAACTATTTCGTCCTGTAGCAATGTCTAGGCCAGATAATGAGCTAATCGCAGAAGTCATTCTATTCTCTGAAGGATTTCAGGAGGCAAAAGCATTAGGAAGGAAACTTGTAGCGGTTTTTAATCTCTCACGTGAACTTTTGACCTCACAACAGCACTATGATTGGGGTCTCCGAGCTTTGAAAACTGTACTCAGAGGAAGTGGACAAATGTTGCAAACATTGAGAACTGAAAACGGTCAAGGCGAGGGTGGAGCATTGGATATAGAAAAAGAAAGCCTAGCTGTCGTACAAGCACTGCGTTTAAATACTATTTCAAAACTGACGTTTTCTGATAGTGAGCGATTCGATGCGTTGGTAAAAGATGTTTTTAAGGGTGTGCCTTTTGTGGGCGTGTCTCAAGAACAACTCAAGGATGCAATCAAGCTCACTTGTGAAGAAATGAAATTATCATTACAAGAACGACAAGTTAAGAAAACGTTGGAACTTTATGAGCAATTGAAACAGAGAATGGGAGTAGTTGTTGTCGGTCCGAGTGGCTCCGGAAAATCAACTTTGTGGCAAATATTGCAAGGCGCCTCAGCAAAACTGGGACAAGTCATCAAACTTCACACTGTCAATCCTAAAGCAATGCCACGTACACAATTACTTGGACAAATCGATATTGATACCAGAGAATGGTCAGACGGTGTTTTGACCAACAGTGCAAGAGAAGTGATTCGTGAAGATAGTGATGTGCATTCATGGATCATCTGTGATGGTGATATTGACCCTGAGTGGATCGAGTCTCTGAATTCTGTTTTAGATGACAATAGGTTATTGACTATGCCATCGGGAGAGAGGATCCAATTTGGACCGAACATAAATTTTTTATTTGAAACTCATGACTTGAGCAGTGCATCGCCAGCTACAATTTCTCGAATGGGAATGATCTTTTTAAGTGATGAGGACGCAGATGTCAAAGCACTCGTTCATACTTGGATGCAAAAACAACCAGAACATCTTCATCTCAAACTTGAATCATGGTTTGAAGATTTTTTTTATCGTGCTCTTGACTGGGTTCGAAGGTCAAATGATATGGTTGTTGAATCTAGTTTAGTTGGTAGCGTCCTAAATGGTCTTTCCCATTTGCATGGTGTAAAAACTAAAACTGGATTTTTGGTTGCATTATTGAAAGGACTAGGGGGAAATTTAAGCACATCTGCCAGGGAAGATTTTGCGAAGGAAATATTTCAATGGGGTCATGAGAATTTACCAGATCAAAGACACCCACTGAATGCCTACTATAATGAAGATCTTGATACTTTGGATTGCTTTAAAGTTGATTTATCTCAGGCTGAATCTTTTGCCAGTGACATTCAAAACATGGAGGAATTGCCTGTTGTGAAAACTGTCGAAATGCAAAGAAATATTGACTATGTTCTTCCATGGTTACAAAGCGGAAATCGACAACCTTTTATGGTCGTCGGACCTGATGGATGTGGCAAGTCTATGCTTTTAAAGGAATGTTTTTCACGAATTCGGTCAACTCAAGTTGCCATGATTCACTGTAATGCACAAACATCTCCTGTTCATTTAGTTCAAAAACTGCAACAAGCTTGTATGACTATAAGTGGCGGAGCTTCTGGAGGTCGTACTTTGCGTCCCAGGGACTGTGAAAACCTAGTACTCTATTTAAAAGATATCAATCTACCGAAACCTGACAAGTGGGGCACAAGCCAACTTATTGCATTTCTGCAACAAATTTTAACATATCATGGATTTTACGATGAGACGAATGAGTGGGTTGGTCTGGATGGAATACAAATCGTTGCATCTATGAATGCTGCAAGTACCTTAGGTAGGCATAAGCTTACCTCACGTTTCACATCTCGTGTGAGAATCATTAGTGTTGACTATCCCGGGAGTGATGAATTGTCACTAATTTATGGTGCCTATTTAGGACCGATATTACATCATGACGCAGTGTTGAGGCAGCATCCTGTTTGGGGATCAAGAGCAAAAATCCAACAACTTGCATCGTCTATGATTCGAATTTATGAAGAAGTGAGATCAAATTTTTTGGCAGATGATCATGGTCATTATGTTTTTACTCCGAGAGATCTATCTCAGTGGTGTACATCTTTGCTGCGTTATGATGATAACAGCGTGAGTGGTTCGGATAGCAGAAGCGCCGATGCTCTACTTAGAGTTTGGGCATATGAGGGCGCTAGACTTTTCCGTGATCGAATTGTAGACACGAGAGGACGTCATCGTTTTGATTCTATAATTTCTGGAATATTAATGAACGATTGGTCTTCGAATGTTTATGAAAACATGAATAAGAGTTACTATGTGACTTGGGGTGCCAGACAAGAATCACACAGTGATAAATTTCTTCCCAAACATGGAAAACAACTTGGAAACCTCGCAGTGTCTGATTTGAAAGACATAATATCTAAAGGCATTGCTACATACAAGCGAGATGTACGAGAAATTGATATTCTGGTTTTTGAAGAGGTTTTGGAGTACATGGCACGAGTTGATCGTATTTTGACTCGCCCTGGAGGCAGTTTTCTTCTAGCTGGTAGAACAGGCGTCGGTCGTCGAACTGCTATCTCTGTTGTCGCCAACATGCACCAAATGACTGTCTTTACTCCTAAAGTGACCCGGATATATGGCATGAAGCAATTTAAAGCTGATATTAAAAGTCTAATGCAACTTGCAGCCATTGAGGGAGAGCAAGTCGTTCTTATACTAGAAGATTTTCAACTGGTTGATCCTGCTTTTCTAGAACTTATCAACAGCTTGCTATCGGCAGGTGAGGTCCCTGGTTTGTATGCCTCTGAGGAGTTGGACCCGCTTCTTTCCCCATTACGAGATGAAGCATCACAAGATGGACATCGAGGACCAATGTATAACTATTTTGCAAAACGTGTGATGAGTAACCTTCATATTGCTTTAATAATGGATGTTGATTGTGAAAGTTTTGCGATCAATTGTGAAAGCAATCCTGCGTTGTATAAGAAGTGTACTGTGCAGTGGATGGAAGGATGGGGAAAGACAAGTATGGAACAGTTACCAGAAATGTTACTCAGCCATGAATTACCAGCAGATTCGAAACTGAACAAAAGTTTGGTTCAAAATTTTGTGAAAATTCATAATTCGACCAAGCGCCAAAATCAATATTCGACTCCTCGAAGGTACATGACATTCTTACGTACTTACCAAAGTGTGTATTTAGAGAAGAAACATTCACTCCAGAAAAAGCAATCCCATCTTCAAGCTGGTTTGTCCAAATTGAACGAAGCAGCATCTCACGTGGATAGCTTGAAGCAGAAGGCCGCAGATCAAAGTCGTCTTCTTGCAGAGAAACAAAATGAAGCAGATACTGCACTTAGAGACATCACAGTGAAAATGGATAACGCTAGCGGACAAAAAAGTGAAATGGAAGTTTTAAAACAAAAAGCAGCAGAGGAGAGAATGAATATTGACAAGAGGAAAAAGGCGATTGATATTGAATTACGTGAAGTGCAACCACTTATCGAATCTGCTAAAAAAGCTGTTGGCAATATCAACCCCACCACACTTGCAGAAATTCGAGCTCTGAGAATGCCTCCTGATACCATCAGAGATATTTTAGAGGGAGTTTTACGTCTCATGGGTATTTTTGATACTTCTTGGGTTAGTATGAAGAGTTTTCTCGCAAAACGTGGAGTGAAAGAAGATATCATGTCTTTTGATGCTCGTAGAATAACTCCTGAAATTCGTGAGTCAGTTGATGAGTTATTGGAACGCAACAAAGCAAGCTTTGAGACAAAAAATGCAAAGCGTGCATCTACTGCTGCTTTACCACTCGCTGAATGGGTCAAGGCAAATATAAAATTCTCAAAAGTACTTGAAAAAATTGAACCACTTGAAAAAGAGCAAGAAAAACTGCAGAAAAGTCTGGAAAAAGCAGAGTCGCGCACAAGAAAATTGGCAGAAAAACTGAAAGTTGTGAACCAGGAAGTGCAGGAATTGAAAGATCGTTTCGAACGTGGAACTATGGAAGCTGCTAAACTAAAAGTGGATTTGGATAAAGCAAACGAAACTATTACAGCTGCAGAAACACTCGTAAGTAAATTATCTGGCGAAAGAGATCGTTGGAACATACAAGTTAAAGCTCTTTCATTTGAGCTTGAAACTTTGCCTGCACGGGTACAACTTGCTGCTGCATTTATCAACTATTTGGCAGCTGCACCTGAAGATGTTCGTAGAGAACGGCTGGCTGATTGGCAAGAAATTACTGGTATGCAAGGATTTGATGTTCGTCGATTTATGAGCACTGAAAGCCAGCAGTTGGAATGGAAATCTGAAGGTTTGCCATCAGATAACCTATCACTCGAGAATGCTCTTGTTATATTACATGGAAAACTCCAACCGTTTTTGATTGACCCTTCATCCAGAGCAACCGAATGGTTGAAAATTCACCTTAAAGATACAAGACTTGAAGTTATCAATCAGCAAGATGCAAATTTTGCTAATGCTTTGGAATTGGCTGTTAGATTTGGCAAGACACTCATTATTCAGGAAATGGATCAAGTAGAACCTATTTTGTATCCGTTGTTGAGGAAAGATTTAGTCAGTATGGGACCACGATATGTTGTCCAGTTGGGAGAAAAAACTGTTGATTATAATGAAGATTTCAGGCTTTTCATGACAACAAGAAATCCTCTTCCGGATATTGCTCCTGATGCTGCAAGCATCATCTCAGCGATCAATTTTACGACTACAAGAGCAGGATTGACGAGCCAACTTTTGGCGCTAACACTTCAACATGAAAAACCTGAGTTAGAGCACAAGAAAACAGAACTTTTGGCAAATGAAGAGAGACTGAAAATTGAACTTTCAAAATTGGAGGAAAGCCTATTGGAACAACTTGCCGAAGCACAGGGAAATATCCTTGAAAATAAAACACTACTTGATAGTTTGAATCAGACGAAGAGCAGTAGCAACACGATCACAGAGTCTCTTAAAGAATCACAGGAAATGGAAGTATCTTTAGACCAAGAAAGAAATGCATTTTTGCCTGTCGCTGAAGCAGGAAGCAAAATGTTTTTTGTTATCAGCGATTTATCAAAAATTAATAACATGTATCGTTTTAGTCTGTCTTCATTTTTACGACTCTTTGAGAAAACTCTCGAGTTGAAATCTGACTTTGAAAATACTGAAGCAAGGATTAAATCACTCAGCAATCGTTTGCAATCTTTGGTTTATGAAAGTATATCCCAGTCACTTTTTAAAGCTGACAGATTGATGTTTGCATTGCATCTAGTTCGAGGAACAAAACCAGGACTTTTCAAAGACAAGGAATGGGAACATTTCCTAGGGCTGCTTGTTTCTGGTAGAGAAATGAATGGAGAAAACAAGAAGAAGGTGCAGGGTGAAATACCTATATGGATTGACCAGGAGAGGCATCGTGCAGTTTCTCAACTGAAAGCAAATTTTCCCTCACTCTATCAAACTATGAATTTGCAAGACAGTGGATTGTGGATGACATTTTCTCGTAGTTCAAAATGTGAGCAAGAGATACCGACAAGTGTTGCGACCAAGACATCAAATTTTCAGCATTTGTTGATAGTGCAAGCATTGCGTTCTGATAGACTGCAAAGTGCTATGTCACTTTTTGCATCTCAAGCCCATGGTGTTCGTGAGCTTTCATCACCAGGCGGTAGTCTTAAACAGATATATGATGATACATTACCAACTGAACCAGTTTTAATTGTGATATCCCCAGGAGCAGATCCTTCTCAAGAACTACAAGAATTAGCAGCTGCCACTATAGGTGCAGAAAATTATTTCCAGGTCGCCATGGGTCAGGGACAAGCTGACATAGCCAAACAACTCCTCAAAGAAGCAGCGAGAAGTGGTCACTGGTTATGCCTAAAGAATTTACATTTAGTAACATCTTGGCTGCCTTTGCTTGAAAAGGAGTTGAATTCCTTAAAACCTCATGATAATTTCAGATTATGGCTTACTTCAGAAGTTCATCCTAAATTTCCAACAATTTTACTTCAATCCAGCTTCAAAGTTACATATGAGTCGCCTCCTGGAATTAAAAAGAATTTGTTGAGGACGTATGATAGCTGGAGCTCTGATTTTGTTAACGGAACATCAGGAAAATCATCAATAGTTCGATCACAAGCATTATTTGCTCTTGCTTGGCTTCATGCAGTCGTTCAAGAACGTAGAAATTTCATTCCACAAGGCTGGACCAAATTTTATGAATTTTCTCTTGGTGATTTGCGGGTAGCTGCGGATGCTGTCGACAGGCTTTGCAGTGGACAGAAAGTGCATTGGGATTTCATGCACGGGTTGATGGAAAATGCAATCTATGGTGGACGTGTGGATAATAATTTTGACATGCGTGTGCTCTCTTCTTACTTGCGTAAGTACTTTGATTCTGGATTACTTTCTGGCGGACAGAGCAGGCGGAAATTGGTAGGAAATGTATCACTACCTTCGTCCACAAATATCCGAGACTATATTGAAACTATAGAATCATTGCCTGATGATGACCAACCCAATAATTTTGGTCTTCCTGCAAATATTGAAAGATCAGCTCAAACGGTTGTCTCACAGCGAGTTATCTCGCAACTAAAAATTATGATGCGATCTGTTGAAGTTGGTGGGAAATTTGATCGTGAGGCATGGAGCAATGAATTGAGTCCTGTTTTAGGTATGTGGAAAAAGCTTAACCAGGGAACTTCACCAAATTTAGTTCATCAAAAAGTAGAAGCACCGTCCGGTGCCAAAAATGATTCTCCTGTGTTGGCCTTCATATTACTTGAACGTTACAATGCCATTCAGCTTGTTCAAACAGTTCATCAATCCTTATCTGCCTTAAGCAAGGTAATAAGAGGAAGTCAATTGTTGTCAACAGATGTGCAAAAAATGGCTAATTCTCTATTATTGCAAGAAACACCTTTGAAATGGCAAGCTGGGTGGGAAGGCCCAGATGACCCTATGCAGTACATGCATACGATTATTGCAAAGGCTATGGCTATTCAAGGATGGGTATCTAAGGCCGAACGTGGTACTATTTTAAAAGAAGACCTAGACCTCGCAGATTTGTTTCATCCGAACACATTTTTGAATGCTTTGAGGCAACAAGCAGCTCGTGATTCTAAAACATCAATGGATGAACTAAAGTTTGTGTGTTCATGGAAAGGCAGCCTTACAGGAGCAAAAGATCCAGTACGTATTGGGGGACTTCAGCTAGAAGGTTGTACTTTCGATGGAAATCGTTTATCAGAAAATCAACGTGATTCACCGACTGTTTCATCAATTCCACCATGTCATGTGGCATGGGTTCCAAAGCAGTCTCCTGCACCATACCCCGAATCTGATGTAATTTCCTTACCTGTATACACATCTTCTACCCGTGAAAGTATTGTAACTTGTCTTGATGTCCCTTGTGGAGGCAACACAACTACTTGGGTTCAGTCTGGTGCAGCATTGTTTTTAAAACAGCGCTAGCAATATCATAAGAAACTCCTATTTATATTTAAGTTTGGCCTGCTTGGAAAAATTTTTCGCAAGTTTATTTGTTTCACAACTACATACAGATGTTATAAAAATAACAATACCCTATTATTCACAAAATGTTCTGATAAAAGGTTCCTTAGAATTTATTGTTAAATCATAAAACATTTTTGCTATAAAAAGTATGTTTAAATAGTATTGTTTTGTACAATACATTTTGTTTGATTGTGCTAACATCGTCAAGAAATGATTATGTTGTCTGCTGTTATCTGTTTGTATAATTTCCAGTGTGTCCGTTCTAAAACACATTCGTCACAAGCATGATCAATATTTATATTAGCTTCAGTGTTTCAAATGTGTTGTATTATGTAGAATTTTTGTATATTTTGTTCACCTTTCTACCATTTAAATGCTGTAATTTCAATTTGTGAAGTAGGAAATTCTAACTTGTTTTTTGGTAGGCATGAAATAGCATAGATCGTCATGTCCTTTGTCCCAAACTCGTTTATAAATAAGGCAGTTGTGTGGTTGAAATATGAAAGATATGATAAATGTTCAGGCTAATGGCCAAGCTATACAGTATACTATATATCTAACAATTGTATACTCATTGAATGTGTCACTGACTTTTTAAAATAAATTCCAATTAATTTTTTGTATCAAATATTTTTTCTCATTTGTAATCTTTTCGAAAGTACATAATAGTCATATATGGTAATACTTAAATATATATAAATACATGTGAAATATATTTTCATATCCTATATTTTTGGAAAAACAATTTTTTTTTTATGTATATGTGCATTTATATGCTTAACACTGTTGATCAACACTATCAGTTCCCAATCAATTGTTACTGAATAGTTCAGAAATAAAGGAATTTAAAGATGTGTATTTTGGGAACCATCGTACAAGCAAGTTTTAGGATGATTGTTTAGATTTGGATCTGATATTGTTGATTACATATACTATAGAATTGTTCTGCTCTTCAATTTTGATTCAAATTTATTAGTATTCATTAATTCATATGGATTGAAACTTATATCATATTTCGCTTATTTGAATCAGTTATAATTTTGTTATACTTATCTACAATTAAAGTCAAATATTTTAAAGGGATTTTGTTTGGTGAAAACATACTCATGAATTATAATAATTTTATTTAAATTTCGGAATTTACAAAAATAAACAATTTCAATTATGTGAATTTCCAAAATGGTGAATTTCCCAATATTAATATTTTTAAATTTAGCTTAAATGGAATTTTTAATGAACACTATTGTCGGCAACTGCTGGTGAATATACTGCATTTCTTGCATACATGCGCAAGTAAATCTAACGCTCAATTTTAAATGGTACCATACATTCACGAAGTTCACTCAAACTTTTTTTTATAGATTAGTTGTACTTCGTTTAAAATACTATTCTGTAATATAGTGTGAAATAGTATAGTCGTGCTGGTGTAATAAAATTAGCCTTTCATCATGTTGTATATTATTGCGGAGATTAACATTGTTAAGGTGATGTGGAAACATGGCACCGAAACCGCGATGCAGTTATTGGGTATGACATACGAGGGGATATCACGGCCCATGCAATGGTGCAGGCAGTCCACAAGAAGCTTGTGCATACATACGTTATATCGGTATTATAGTGTACCAGATGGAGATGTATATATCTATACAGATCCGATACCAAAAAACTCCGATATTTTGGAAATCCGATATTCCGATACTATGTAATTATTACTTTGGGTGTGCAGGGTTGACGGATTAAAACAATAGTCTGGGAGTGTTATTCACGGTGCACATTATTTCGGCTTGAAAAAAAAAATTTCAGAACGTAAACTAGGTGTTCAGTTAGAAAACTCATAAAGATAGATGGTAAAGTTAATAAATGTTTACTTATCCTATCAAACTGTTTAATTGAGTTGCCTATGCGGGATTTTGTGCTAATGATCCGTCGTATTTTACAAATTAAAAATTATTCGATTTATGTTTCTTCATAATTACCATGTCATATTAAAATGTCAATATAATATTAATATAATAAAATTTGGCAGCGAAAATGCCAAATTAGTTGAGCTAGGTTGACTGAATAATAGCTAAATCCGAATCCTGTTCCCTTTTCTACTCGCGGGGATTAGAGTTAACGAGGCAAATACCGCGAACATGATCCCTCTACAGTCTACACAAAAACAAATTTAGCATCTGTATTCTAATTTAATTTTTAAAACATGCTGGATCAGATTAAAAAGCTAAATATATCGCAAATATCGGTCTACATTTGGGCGATATCGAAAAAATGACCGATATCGATACATTTCTAGTACCAGTACGACGAGAATTTGGCTGGGCAGTTCGGATTTCTTTCTCTATGGTGTAATATTCAGCAATAGAGCAAGACTAAATAGAGTTTGTCTCGGTTTGTAGCCCAAACTAATACCTTCAGTGAAATCGAACATTAACAGTATCGAAGTTACGATGAAATGCTATTTAAACGTTGAACGACTGGCGCTTTGTAACAGTATTGAAGTTACGGTAAAATGCTATTTGAACCTCAAGTAACTGACGACAGTATTTCAGACTTTCGATTGTTATGATCGACGTAAAGACTTTTTCCAATAATTCAAAACAAAAATAAGTTGATGAAACGCATCTAATGGTTTATCAAAAATTCTTGCATGCTCCTCAGTTTTTACACCAAAACTTGTTTTTCTGGGGAGTTCGAAGCTCGAGTCAAAGTGCAAATTTTTATATTAATATTACATATGATTAAACAGGACATGCCTTCGATCTAGTCCAACGCAAATTACTGGCGGAATCAATTTTTCTCATTCTAATTTCAGATTCTGAATGAAACTTCGTAGTCTAAATTTGAGTAATTACATCATGAATGAAATATTGTTAACTAACTTATTTAGTAGTTAGCACGTGCTTCACTACCTGTTAACCATATGCGTGTATTGCTTATTAAGCTGTAAAACGTACCAAGCTCTGAGAGCACATGTAGTGTTAAAGCCCTAATCAGTCACAAAAACACACTTTTTAAAATGATTGTTTTATTTGTCTTTGCATCTTTTTAAATTCTTCGTCACCAATCCAAAGTCAAAAGTTAATATTTGTCAAGTGTGGATCACAGATATAATAAACTTGTTAAATTTTATCTAATGTTCGAACTTGATTGAAATAATAATTAACTCTTGACTGGGTGACCAATCACGTGAACAAGTTCTGTTTACCAATCCAACTGGTTGCACAACCTTAGGTTCCTGTACCTCATTCCTGGCCGCACCTTTTCGAGCCATTCCTGGAAAACATCACAGGTTCTCAATACTTCATTATGGTGGTATTCCAAATGTTAATAAGTGCGACATAGATTGCAAAATATGAAAAAAACGCGTAAAATGATATATATATAATATTGTGAAAAGGAGGAAGAAATACCACTGTCACAAAAACGCCTGACATAATTATATAAATAACGCAATGTAACAACGTGTGAGGAGAATATTCTATAGTCGAAGTAACTTTTCATAATTTGTGGCTCACTTAAAAAACATTTAACAAATTCTCGCGATAGAATAGAATAAACCATTGCTTCCAAAATATTTTTCATTAGTAATATCGAAACCTGAAACATTGTTCTAAATATTGACACTTAATAAATATTACGTCATGATAATTTATTATATCATAGTTTATACTAACGGTGCTTAATCCCGATGAACAGTAAAATCCTGTTACACCATAGTATTTTCTTGATGTGTCCACGGAGACGGTTTGGCAACATACATCGAACTGAGGACCGCAGAAATCTGCACCGCACGCTTTTCCACGTATACTACATATAGAGCAGAAAGAAATTTTTTGTTAATAATTGGAATTTCTCAAAAATTCGTAAAACCCCCACAGATTGGCCCGAACATTCATTGTATAAGCAATACCAAAGGGCCATCGGAGGTTTCCACATTAAAATCAATACTGAAAGGGAAAAATCGAGTTGGATTTTAAAAAAATTTACTTACGCCGCATACGATGCACAGACGCATAAAAGTAATAGAAAGAAGATCTTCATTTTTCTTTTGTTGATTTTAAAGTTAAGACTCGGCTTACTAATCTGAACTGATAATAAGGAAAACAAGGATTTGTGGAATTTAATTTTTCTCTCCCTCTCATTATTAGATGCACAATTTTACTGATCTGATTATCCACATTCTTATATATATATATATTTGTGCAGTGCGGGTATCATGCAATATACAATGTTGTCAAGTGATAATTAACTTGGTTTTCAAAAATAGTAAAATGATTGAGCATGTTATTTGAAGTTTGCGCAAACTCGAATAAAGACGATGTTTTCGGTCGTTGAGTTTTCGCAGTTGCTTTTAAAAGAACTATCCTTGTGAATGATGAGCAAAGCAATGAATGAATGTCTTTTTATGGGCTTTCATAATAGGTTTAGCTCCTTTTTTCTCAAATTATTGCGCTGCGAAAAAAAAACTATACACACCAGCCAAACATGATTCGTTTTCAAGTGTGATTTGGTTTTGATTTTCTAGTCTTTTTACGTTTTGCAACTTTTTTTTTCTAGGATTAGAATGGTTTTATCCGCTTTTGCTAAAAACAGTTACTTTTTGAGTATTCTACGCCTACTGAACAAGTTGAAATTCATAGGAAACATAACCTGGCTGAAACCAAACAACGGTTGCGAAAAATCTTAAACAATACCTAGAAATATGACGCGTGAAGCCCAAAATTTTGCTCAAATCAAAGTTGTAATCGCTTAATTAACCTAAAGCGAAAGCGTACTTTGTATAACTGTTTTATATCGACAGCTAATACTTGTTCAGCACACTATGCAGTTGGATATCCTAAATCCAGTGTCCACGATAATTTTTTTAAGAATTTACAACATCATTGTAGCTTTTCACTAATGCACGATCTCTGGATATCCAACCTCATCTTTCCCATACGAAATCAAACTTTAAACACTTGGTCTCAAGCGTGAAAATACTTTACCAATATACTAGTTAATTTTTGTATTGCGTTTCATTAGAAAATCAATATTATGCATGGCCTCGTATGTCTCCCTTATCAGCAGGGATGGTTGACTATGAAGGTAGCTAGCCTACTTGAATTTATGAGATGAAAGCCTATTATTCCCAGTGTGAACGTAGCACTTTGTCGTATTTTTGTTTGTCATTCGGGGTTATTCTGTGATTTCTAATGTCATGTACTTCACTGGAATTTCTCTGTACTTCGAATTGCTATATTGCGTGTGTGCTTTACTTGATTTTCAAGGAAGTCGATGGGAAGAATAAGTATAGACTTTCGTTAATTGAATTTGTTTTCTTTTTACTTCGAATAATTCCCCACTCGCATTAATTATGTTCGAAAACAAAATGAATGTCAACGGGTGCACTATGAATGCTTTAGTCAGGACCAATTACAAGAATACTAAGATCCATATCACATATTTACCCATGTGTAAAACGTTGTTATTAGGGTGTGGCAATATAATTACATAATAGACCTTCAAGCGGGATGATTTGTACATTTTAACAATGTCCATCTCTTCTTGTAAAATTCACTTCGAATTATAAATGGATATATATGACTATTAATTCTGCCTTAAAAATATTTTTATTGTATATATATAATATTATATTTAATGAGTAATTTCTTGCTTCGATGGCGTCTTCGCTCACAAAAAACGATCCCCATAGACCCCACAGCAATTTTCAAAATAATCGAAAATGTAAATAGCCGGCTATATCGAAAAATGCAAACTGTAACCACTGACTAGGGCGACCCTATTTCCAAACCCTAAAAAGAGGACACATTGTTTGGTAGCACCATATTTCACCTGTGCCCGATATATACATTATATATCTACTAGACTCTTTAGGGTGGAATATAGAAGTGAAAATAGGTGAAGTGTGCTGCAGGACTTAAATTATTCTGTTCATCTTTCATGTGCCAGCGTGAGTTTACAGTAGGGAACTGAATTGGATTAAATTTGCTTACAAACATGAGTTCTAGAAGTAGTCGAACAACTTGGCTTCAATGCATTGCTTGTATTATGTATAATGATAATTACAATTATCTACTTACCTCAAATTTTCTTAACGCTTCAAAAACTGTTGATTATATCATACAAAAATTTTAAAGATTCAACCCCGTGAAAAGGAGGACATTTTTGCATTTTAGAGCGTTCTCGGAGGACATAAGATTTTTAACGAAAAAAAGAGGACAAATCCTCCAAAATCAGGACGTATGGTCACCCTACCACTCTACCAAAGCGATTTTTTTCACAAGATAAGAAAAGGAATACAATATTCAAAAACTGATCAAGTAACAACATATCAACAAAATGATTCATATATATGTACAATTCGTGTCCAGGAACAAACTCAGTAAAAATAACATCAAAGTTTAGATACCATTGTGAGGTAACAAGCAGGTAAGGTAACAGGCAAGGTGGGTAACAACATTTTCGATGCCACGGGCTCTCGTTTTTACCTTCTTGTACAAGGGGTACAATATTTAACCACAGTACGTATGCGACTCACACAAAAGATGTGGCTGAGCAGCAAAATACAAAAATTGAAACAATGGTCATCGACGACGCATAAAAAGACTAAATTAATATAAAACAGCTAATTTTTAGGTGAAATATGGGATCTCATACGAAACAGAAGAATTTTAAAATGGCCTCGATTAGCGATGTAACACGTGTTCACCAAAGCTAGTGTTTCCGAGACTAATATAGAGGAAATGGTAATTTGGAATACACCCGTTCTTTTATTAAAATTTTAAAATTGCGTGACTTCTTTTAACGTTCGCAGAAGTCGGAAGGAGTATTATAAATTCAGACATTTGTCAAAGGTTGAACCCGTTTTCTTCAAATAATTATCACACCCCTTCGTGTCAAAACCTAGAAATAGCCAATTCATAACGTTTGCAATATCTGGTAATTCAAAAACAATCCCAAGAAAATTGTGAAGAATTTTTTGTAGAAGTTTTATGTAATGAGATTGTTATTTTCTTGTTACTCACACATATCGTCAGCCCACGCTGAATAATACATATTCAGAACAAGCCTGGCAATGTGGTAAATATGACCTCTTGATAGCAATTACAAAACGAATTTCGAAGAACGAATAGGGGCGCAACGGCGCTAGTCACGTGCCCTTAATTCTATAATCTTGGTGTCACAATTTATCGATTTCAATAATCCTAATTTGGTTACTCTTATATAATTCATGCAAACGATCTGCCAATGAAAAGTTAGTCGGAGAATGAGCAAACAGACTCAATTCCGGAGTAAAATAAGAGTTGAATTAAAAACCATAATGTTCTCGATATAATACGTTTATACGTAATAATATAAAAATATTCTGTATGGTTTCACCGTGATCTTTTTATTTTAGCATGTCATTTCTATTTTAGTATGCTAGTGTAGTTTAGTATACACTCGTGGTCTATGAGCGGACCAAGGTATGCCCGCAACCCATATGGCGATCGGCCTTCATACAAGATCATTTTCAATTTATTAGGTCTCTGCCTCATATTATGTTCAACATAAGATTGTTGCATTGGGTTATAACCAGTGATGAGCTGGAAAAATCGTAAGAACCGAAACGCACCTCATTCTTGAAAATGTACATTGCGACCGTGGATGCTCACAAATATTTTTGTCTTCCTAAGATAGAGCCAAGCTGGTGACACCTTATCAATATTTAAAATAAGCATAAAAAATAATATAATGGTATGGTATAAGACGAAATATTTTGGGGTCAAAGGTCAGACAAACATCCAATACCCTATATACCAGACCTGCCCAACCTTTTTCCTCTCTCGGGCCGCTTTCACATGACGAAATTCGTTGCGGGCCGCAAATGCTTGTACCAAACTTCAATACCAGCTAATTCCCGATTCCGGTATAATTTACATGATACGTAAAATGCAAGTTTATCAACAAAAAATCAATCAGGTCAATAATTATTTACTGGTTACTGATTATGAATGGCGAAATATTCAAATATCAAGTCGAATATTAGAATAGCAGTTTACTATTCGATATCTGGTAGCATGGGGTGTGGACATGACACTCGCGGGTCGCCGAATTAAAGAATCAATCATTACACAACACACTTGCGGATTTCTGACGACCACACACAGTTTTCACTAACAAACATAGACGTCAGAATTGAATGATATATTTGGGTTATAGTGTTTTTATTCATTCATTTTCAGTGGCTATGATACTCTCTCAATGTTTAAATAAAGCATAATGTGCGCCCATGTCGCCGGAATATCAAGTTTTGGTGGAGAACCGTTTTGTAAAATTCGAAGCATCAATACAAGTATTTATTGAAGTAACAATAAAAAGATTTCTGGACGAGTATATATATATATATTTATATTTACTAATTTGAATATGTAGCAATGCCATTAAGTCAATTTTATCAGAATTATTGAGGGAAACACAGGCTTGTCGAGGGGAATGGCATTCCCATGGGATGGGACAGCACACATTTGTATTTCCCATGGGTCACGTGGGACGCAAAAACCGTATGATTTTCGATGGAAATGATGGTAAAACATTTTGTTATAGACTTCGTGTCCATATATTTGAGCATAGCTCTCTTGTTAGTTATAAAGAGCAAAATATATTCAACATTAACAGTATACTTCGTGATGGGGCTGATGGACACATGCATAATAGTTATGGATATAAAGTTAACGAAGTCCGTAGATTTTGTTGTTTTGCATGTCTATTCGTACATGTAGTCCTACTTAGTGGACGTTAAACCTAAATTTAACAATTTTTATTGAATTTTATTCCAATGGGAATCCCAGGCATAATTGCTATCGGATGGTAATGGGGCAGAAAAATATGTCCAATGGACAGTACCACAGAAATTGTTGACATTTTATTTTGCGTTGGCGATAAAGACGATCAAAGAAAGCAATCAGACACGACACGAAAGAAAGCAATCAGAATGAAATTAATTTGCAAATTTCGGCTTCAAAGTCATTCTTATGTTTGCGCTCAGCGTCACACCAAAATAACGAAACATACTTAAACCTATATATAACATAGTAAAAATTTAAAAAGTCTCCTTACAAACTTTAAAGGTCAGGTCGCAAAATACAGTCTAGCGGGCCGCGGGTTGG